AAAAAAAAAAAGTAGATCGGCAAACGGAAAAAAAGATACCTCTCGTTTTTTACAGTCGTTCGTCAAGGCGAAATCCACAGACGAATTGAATTCACCAAGATTTCGTACGTGCCATTCTCTCAGCGTCTCGATACTCTTGCATTTTTTTTCGTACAATACTTACAATACAATATAATATATACACCCAGTACGTACGTGTATAGGACGTATAGGAACGACGGTACAAGGGAGCATTGTACGCACGAGACGACGAATGGCAATTTGCCTCGACGAGACCAATAAAAGTCGAAGAAACGTAGAGGTATATAAATATGATGCTTCCCGCCGCGCAACTCTTCTCGACTATCCACAGCAATTTTGCCCAGCGACTCCGGTGTTTGAAAACGTAACACGAAAATGACGCTTCTTTGTGACTGCTGAGCATTTATTTTATTGAACGATTTAGCCAAAACTAGACTAGACGCGACTAGCCGAATCACCGAGTATAGATGACATTGTCAGGGTTATTATATAATAATACGCAGATGGGCATTGTCATCGTATTATATAACCATAGGTACGAAACGCCACGATTTGCTTCCAGGCTGCTCGTGGCAGGGCAGAGCTTGCCAGCTGGTGGTCCACCACGAGGAGGGCTTCGCCCTGTACGCGGCGGGCACGCGAGGCGTGGCGGGCAACGGAGCGAGTCCCAGCTCGCCCCCTACGGCCCTTTGGCGGCGACCCTTCGACAAGCTCAGGATGTCCGCGGACGACGGCGCTCGGCTGCTCTGGCTCGACTTTGTTGGCGACGACGCCGAAATCGTAAGTCTGATGTCTTGCATGCATGCCACATCCGTCGGTATTATACATTCATACAATGCGTATACTTGTATGACTAATATCTTTGCTGTTGTGTGGATAATTTATACCTCCCACTAACTTCATGCCTGCACACGTAACAATAACTCAATACAGGCCAATAATTATTCGATTATTGCTATATAGGCACACTCCGTTAGTCATTTACCATTATGTACGGTGATGCTTTTCTTTCTTTTTCTTTTCATTGTTTTTTTCGAGCGAGAGAAGAGCCAACGCTCGATTTTGATTTTTTTCGTGCCACGGCTCCCGTCGAGCGCACCAGGGCCACGGGTGAGCGTGTTACCTACAGCCGATTGCCAACAAATGTATATTACACGCCCTACCTGCTATCCGTACCTCCCTTTTATCGGTAAAATGTAAAATGGCCGGCTATCTCGAATGCAGAGTAATTCGTGCACGGGGCACTCGCGAGTCATCACTTTACTGCTATGGGTTACGGGGTTGCGTGGCATTCAGGAGCATTGCACAGCCGTAGGTAATGACAATCTCATTGTGATTCAAACGACACGATATTGTCATATCGAAAGCTCCATGCACTTTGCGTCCCTGTCTCTTCTCGTCTGCGCGACCCTGCAATCAAACGCCCTCGCCTCGGCGCCCATCCATTCCAACCACGCACGCGCTACGCCATTACAATTATTTTACTGATGCCCCAATACCCATCGTTAGGTACAATATTTCACACGGTAAACCTTATTAAATGACACGTGGATGTTACGTTTCACCTTACTACTTGCATGCCAAGCGAGTATCTACATACCTATAACTGCACTTATTGTACATATACATATACCTGTACATAAAATAATTTAACTCTGCTTGAAATATAAAAACAACAACCCTGTATTTGCTTGATAGCCACCTATTGATCCGCTTCGAAAAATTTTCTTTCACATCCTCCTCGTAGGTACACTGTATTTTAAGCTGCGTTCTAACCAATACCTTTTATTTTACCTTAAAATGTGTCCAAATGCTCGTTCATCATCGCAGTAGTTAAAAGCTACCCCCCTCGCGTTGCCTCGCTGCAATCATCCCACGCACCTGTAATAAATATTATAATCATGCTCTGCACCAAATCTGCTGCATATGTGTGTATACGTGTACAAATAACCGAGTAAAAACAATGTTGTTAAGTATGGAGCTAGCTTTACGAAAGTGGCGTTATGTTGCAGGAACTGGACTTGGAGAGCTGCCCAAAGCCAATAGTCTTTGTTCTGCACAACTTTCTCTCGGCAAAGATCCACCGGCTTGGACTGAGCGCATAGGGGTACGAGGGGGCCCCGACCGAGGCCCCCGACCTACCCCCCCATACCACCCGATCCGTCACCAGCGTCTTTCTCCACTGAATTTCTGCGCTGCGCCACCCGTCTACCCCCTCCCTCGACACTTTCGCCCTCAATATCTAAATTTTTATCCAAACGAAAGCTAGGAGAGGCGCTTTGCAGCAAACATTTTTAAATTATCATCATCATCATTGAATTATGAAAACGTATCTTCTACGGTGGGCAGCTGTGCGGTGTGGCATAATTGAAAATTTAATCTAGTGGGTATATATATATATATATGTGTGTGTGTATATATGTGTGTGTACACCGTATGCATGTACATGTATATGTATGTACTTGCTCACTATTGTCATACCATACCATAACCACCACGTGAAGAAAGTATGAGCATGTGGCGCGCGAGTGCGACAAAATAATAAAGTAATCAAGTATTTATAGATTGAGTGTGCGTGAGTGTCCGGAACAAAGGGCATCACCGATAATCGAATCGACCGAAGCCATCCAAGATATTGAGTTGAGAGTATTGTTGTAGGAAATTTGTTGTAGTAAGCATAGATGTACGTCATAAGGCAAATAAAAAATTTAAAAAATATTAAAAATAAAAGCAAAAAAAAAAAGTGGACGTGTCGCGTGAAAAGTGAAATGAAGAGTGCTATAGCTGCTTCATGTATATTAATCATCGACACCGAGTGGCCGAGAATTTAGAGCGGCCATGCAGAGAAGACTCATGCTGTGCATAATATTCAGTATTGCGCTATACGAAGCCAAGAAGAATGTGACTGAAAAAATGAAGCGAACAAAAGGTTTAGGTAACGTAATGCGATATTGACGTTTGACGTATCGAATACCACGAGCCTAATGATGTATGTGTGTGTATGTGTGTAGTTAAAAACGATACTTTGCGCGTCGAACTAGTATTATACAAGTAATTAATTATTATTACTATGGATACTCTGAGGAATCAATAATGCTGTATCTTAAGATCTTAAGGTTAGAGGGGGCTGGGGAGCAGCCTATGCCATTAGTTTTTTATAATGCATACGTACATAAACTCTTGCGTACAAAATATCTTTATCTAAATTTGTGTACCTCTTATCACCCGATGCCCCGATCTAATAATCTAGCAGGCAGGTCTTTGTTAAAAAAAAAAAAAAAAAAAATTATAATAAAAGCGCTTGCGAATGCGCTCGTCTGCAGGTGAGGGTTTGTAGATAAGCATAGGTCAACAAAGAAATGGTATGTATTCATTTATTTTTCATCGATAGTTTTATGCATTCTTGTTTATCATGATATTCGCTCTTTTAACGCTGTTTTCGTTATTTAACTGACGAAATAGTGTACGTGAGAGTATTGTTATCAAGTTACAAATATTCGTTTTATCACTCATCGAGAAGTAGTTTTATTTTTTTTAATGATTTGTGCATAAAGTAATTAGGACACTGTAAGCAAAAAACTAATTAACTGTTCAATTATTTAACATAGCCAAACTCAACTTCAAACATTTTATTGATTTGGAAGAAAAATGACGATTATGATAATAATGATTGTGACGATGACGATGATAATGTACATATGAATGACAACAAAAGAAATGACAACGATGATAAAAATACCAATTGAATTACAAAAATCACTTTTTTTATCCCGCTATAGCTATGGATATTATTATTGTTATTGTTATTGTCATTATTATAATTACTATTTACACTGATGTTGTTATTGTAATTCTTAATAACCTTGACAGATTACTACTATAACAATCATTATTTTATCATTCTGATTACTTGGCATGGATAATTTGTAACATACGTATGTTTGTAACATTGTGAAAAATTATTTGTAAGCATGAAATAAATTCATATAGTTATCAATTTGCTGTATAATTTTGTATAATGACATATCAATCAATTGTAAGTATGAAAATTATACATACATATATATNTCCCTCGCGCGCCCCATATATATATATTATAAATACATAATATATATGAAAAGAATCGAATAAAATTTTTCTTGTTAACTTTGCCTTCATACCATCATTATTTACACGAAATTTTTCAGCGATCCTGCCTTTCCTCCTAATTCCAAAGACATGCACTTATGACCTGGCTAAATAGCATAAACTTGAATGAGAAGTTCCGTGTACATCCATATGAAGTGAAAAAAAAGAAAAAAAAAGAAAAGGAAAAAAATCTTCAAATGTTGACGTCCCTTTACTTATAGTCCTCTCGTTTTCTCTCCAGCCAAAGACAACGCAACAAGCATGGCCCACTTAACAAAAATAATTGACACAGCTGGAAAAACTTTCGCCGTCCATTTTAACAGGTAATGTGTCCCATTGGCGCGTCGTTGTCGTTGACAGCACATAAGTCTTCGAGCCACCTCTTCGTGATAGCTGCCAAATCCCATTCTCATTTCTCCTTCTCGCAGTAAGACGCTCGGCAATTACACACACCAACTAATAGCGTGTCGCGTTTCTCGTCCCTTTTGTTCTCTCGCCTCCCGCCCCTCTCCAACTTTTTTTTCATACACCTTCCCGCTTGAGCTGAGCCGTGGAAAACTGTTGGGGTATAGGCAGGAGAAATAAAAATAGGCAGAAAGGAAAGTTTTTCAATAGCAGCGAGTAGAGTTAGTAAAGAGCTGCCGGGTGGGGGGAGGGGAGATTGGTAAGAGGGGTGTGGGGTGGAACAAGATGAACGAGAAAAATAAGCATCAGAGGAGCTGGGGGAGGTGGAGGGCGGGAACTGTTACGCGCTCGTAAAAGGGATAGCATATAAGTTCGGGCTTAATTGCAGCAATATCTGTAAGTGCAGCTTGGTCAACGAGTTTCGAGCTGGGGAGCAGAATTTTTATTATCTGCAAGTTTTACATCAGTTAATTAAAATTACGAGTTTAGTTCACCGGTAAAAAGTACCGGCCGCATTATACTCGTTTATTTTAATGCCTCAGTTCTTATTACTCGAATTTCTAGGTACATATCTGCACTCTGTGATAAGTGTATGGACATATTTTTTTAATAGTTTTTTTAATTTTTAAGAAATATGCACGTACCTTTTCGTTAACCACAGAAACCGCTGAGACAACGTAAATCTTGAAAGTTAACTAATCGATCGAAAAATACATTGACATTGAAATACGCAACTTTTTTTTCTTGGATATTTTTCCGTCCGAATGTATTATTAGTTTTCGAGATGAAAATTAAAAATTAAAAATCTACTACAGCTTGAAATCAATCATTTTTTTTAAATTTACGTTGTAAGTATCGGAGCTTGATGAAAAATGCATGAAAAATGCACAAGTCGATGAGAAATTTTCAATTCCCAGTAATCTCGAGCTTGGCGCTTGCCCTGGTAGGTATATGCAGGTACACCAATATCGGAAAACACTATTTTCAAACGAGGGCGCAGCAAACGTCCAAAGTTGAAAAAAAATGCCCAAGTAAGAAAACACAATTTGACGCCCTAGACGAGAAAATCGGTGTGAATGATGAATGAAACGCACCCACACATTCGGACATTTTTCTAAATAAAATTTTTCGATTTTTTTATGCCCTTCACAGTTATCTGACACGCTTTAACCAAAATTTTGAATTTTACCGATCCTTCATTTTTGGGATTGCAAAAAAAGAAAGGATGAATTTTCCGTTTGCTCTTTTTTATCGCTGATGCTTCAACGTTCACATAGAAGTTTCGCTAGCGTTTGAACAACGACGTGAGTTTATGTAACATAACCTGGAATTGTAAAAGAAAAGGGAATATTTCGCAAAATATTTGAATAACGCGAATACGAATAATATAACAGTAAGACCTTCTGGACTCTTTGCTGCATGACCACAAGAACTGTGTGTGTACAACCCGTTGTTAACAGAAAAGAAAAGGCAAAAACTTTTCTTTTTTTTTTTTCCAAAATCTGTAAACTGTATGGATAAACTAAATATCCTAGTACTTGTAACTATCGATTATCTACTTGTTTTAGTACAATAATAAAGCAAGTTAATCATTAGGGGCATCACTTGTATATGTATGTACTTGTATATATATATATATACAACAAACCGATAATACACAATGTCCGTCGCGATTGAGATGTGTGCTTCCTTGAGGACTTTTTTTTCATTTGAACTTACATAAGCTGCACTGGCATGTAGAAAATCACGAGAAAATCAGTCATCATTTCCAGGCTTTTTTGATAATGCGTGTGAAGGGAAAAAGCTCTAAAACTTGTTCAGAGAGGATGTGGACCAAAAGTCATGGTGACGGACTACTGGGCAGGAGGGGTAAGACTTGCCGCTGTGGCCCGAAGGGAAATCGTGTTAAGCGAAAAACTTTGGACGTTTTCGCGATTGGTTGGTGAAATTCTTCGGAGAAAATTTTCTAGACAGCCGCGTGATCGAGACCAGCACGGCTACATCGGAGGTGGGGGCGATTTATGCAGTAGCCGGCGCGTGGTATCGCATACGATCGATCTCTCTGACACTTTTGTCTGTTCCGTGTATTGGATGCGTATCGGCCCCAGGGGCTGGATTCCATGCTGGTGGGTAAAACTTTTTATTTAGTGGGTACTCGGCATCTCATGCACAGGATGCATTTATTCTTCTCACTCCGTGGGTCAACCGATTGTCCACGTACGAGTAATATAATCGGTTTCTAACGATTGTCTCCATCCTCCTACTACCCTCTCTCTCTCTCTATTTTCTACATGCCGTTTTTATTCTTTTTAGCACTTTAGTTACAATCGACACCCTTCATGCGATATTGTTGCTGTTTTACGATTTAACTATAGGAAACATATATTTTGATTACATTTTTTGCTCGTCTAATCCTTATAACGGACAAAATCTTTTGTTATCTTTGATGATTTTTTATTTAAACGCAATATATACCTAAACTTTGCTGATAATAATTTTAAAAATTGATTTGATAAAAAAATGTAGGCAACGTAGATATCATCAAGGACATTATAAAATTACAAAATAACACAACACATTATTATCTATAATTTTACTTCACATAAATTTTAATAAAATACACTTTATTATTGTTATGAAAAAATCAAGTAATAGTACCACTCTCGATAATTTTTTTCATGATAAACTCATTTAACTACAGTTAGGTATGTATTTGTTCACGCCAATCGTGAACTTTTAATTTTCTCTCTTCATTTTCTAATTTTCTTTAGCACAATACGTTAAATGCAATAGTTATATTTCCTGGAATTGTAATAGCTTTATCTTTGCTTTATCATCTAAAAGTAACACTTATCAATTTTATAACTTTCACTTTACATTTATACATACTTTAATTTCAGAACTTATATTTTCTTATCTTATCTCTTTTTCTACTCTGACTCATATAACGACTACAGTGTATATTTGTATAGTTAACTTTAGTTATTCTCTCCGCTATTATTGTAATGAATCAGATACGTCTCAACAAGCAAAGAGTCAACATCAATTGTGCTCTGAGCTCCGCTAACCGCTATTGTAAATACATACGCTATTAAATAAACGCTATTTAAACTACTACCACTCAATAGTTTATTGATCCTCAGTAATTCCCGAACAATCGATATTAAGATCCCCGCGTTCGTCAAGAATTTTTTGCTTGAACGTAACAGTATTGCTACAAGTTAGTGTTATTGATTGAAAAACTGACCAAACAAGCCACGAGATCAGTCCTTGAAGGTGGGCACGAAAATCCCATAAAGAATAGAAAGGTTTAAATTAATCACGTGACAATAAATTTTTTTGAGATGGGATGTACCTATTGATTGACCTTTACCCTCTCTCTTTTTTCTGTACACTTAAAAAATGTTTGTATACACCAGTTGATTTGAAAATGATGAAAGAAAAAATAATATCAAACAGTGGTAATTGCCGGAGTAATTTTAACGCGTAAGATAAGGTCGAGTAGTACGCTTCCCTACAGCGAGGTCGGTTTCCTACAACTCGATAAATTTCACCGTCACGTCGATACACGGCTGCACTGCAGCCAAAGCGTGATTGGCTTGGAAGGTCGGGGCGCCGGAGAAAGGCGCAGGAGGGAGAAACTTTTCTTATCCGTGCGTCAATCGAATCGCGATGCGCCCTAAGGAGTGCCCGTCCAGGGCGAAGAGAAGAATGGAAATTTCGCGAGAGAGCACTCTCTTATCCCTCGGATCA